GTCTTGTTCTGTCTGCGCAGGTGAGTCTGGTTCTGTCTGCGCAGGTGAGTCTGAGTCTGCGCAGGTGAGTCTGGGTCTGTCTGCGCAGGTGAGTCTGGTTCTTTCTGCGCAGGTGAGTCTGGTGTTGTCTGCGCAGGTGAGTCTGGTGTTGTCTGCGCAGGTGAGTCTGGTGTTGTCTGCGCAGGTGAGTCTGAGTCTGAACGATGCACAAAACCAACCTAAAAGTGAAGAAAACAACCAGATCTCGTGCCTCTGGAGAGCAGAGTAAACATGAAAACCACCTGACTCAAAGTGAGAAGAGGAAAGTTTTTACTCAAGTCAGAGTCCCGTTACTTCAATACAGTTTAAATAAAATGTTACTGAAGTAAGAATAAAAATACGCAGCTCTGAAAAGTACAACTGCTTTAAAAAGTTACTCAAATAAAAGTATCTGAGTACAACCCACCTCTGTGTTTTTTTTTCTGCTTTTGTAGTTGTGTGTGTGACAAAGACGAAGGACACTGAGGGACAAAACTGAGGGACAAAACTGAGGGACAAAACTGAGGAACAACACTCAGGTCCACCTCAACGGGGGCGACACAGAGGGACACAAAGGGACACAGACAACGACAAGAGACAAAGACGGAGACACAAACCAGGTCACAGAAAAACAGCGAAACTACAGAAACAGAAACAACACTGAGGGACGAGACTGAGACAACACAGAGACAACACAGAAGGACACAGAGGGACACAGACGGACACAGAGGGACACAGATGGACACAGATGGACACAGAGGGACACAGATGGACACAGAGGGACACAGATGGACACAGATGGACACAGATGGACACAGAGGGACACAGAGGGACACAGATGGACACAGAGGGACACAGAAACAACACTGAGGGACACAGAGACAACACAGAAGGACACAGAGGGACACAGATGGACACAGATGGACACAGACGGACACAGATGGACACAGATGGACACAGATGGACACAGAGGGACACAGATGGACACAGACGGACACAGACGGACACAGAGGGACACAGATGGACACAGAGGGACACAGATGGACACAGAGGGACACAGAGGGACACAGACGGACACAGAGGGACACAGATGGACACAGATGGACACAGATGAACTGCACTAAGACTCAACACCAGGGACGATTCTGAGGGACGACACACAGACACATGTCCTGCGTTCACATGCACATCGAGCTCTGGAAGAAAAGTCCAATAAAACTGAAGACACTGTGGGATTTTAGGGCAGATTTTGAATTTTTGTGAGTCAAATTTCATCAAAATTTGGCCAAATTTCAGTGTGGCGCCGGGTACAGGGTTTATGAACCTGGGACAAAAACTCACCTCTGACTCGTCTGGACAGAAAAGTTTGTCGACAAAAGAATCAGACTTTAAACATGGCGGTGCTGAAGTGTGTAACTGTGTCCTGATTTTTAGGTGTTTTTATTTTTATTTTGTGTGTAAAGTCCCTCAGTCGTCCTCAGGAGAAGTTTAACTGGTCGACTGGACAAAAGTTTATTTGGTCGAATCTCAGTTTGTCCAAACTGCTGCTTCACTTCTGCCCCGATTCTTTTTGTGTTTGAGTTTAGACTGAAGCAGAAACTGATGTGCACGAAAACACAGAGACACAACACACACAGGGACTATAACACACACAGGACACACACACAGGGACTATACACACACACAGGGACTATTCACACACAGGGACTATACACACACAGGGCACACACACAGGGGACTATATGGGACACACACACAGGGACTATACACACACACACACACACAGGGACTATACACACAGGGACTATACACACACACAGGGACTATACACACACAGGGACTATACACACACACAGGGACTATACACACACAGGGACTATACACACACAGGGACTATACACACACACAGGGACTATACACACACAGGGACTATACACACACAGGGACATACACACACAGAGACACAACACACACAGGGACTATACACACACAGGGACTATACACACACAGGGACTATTACACACACACAGGGACTATTCACACACAGGGACTATACACACACAGGGACTATACACACACACTATACACACACACAGGGACTATACAGGGACACACACAGGGGACTATACACACACAGGGACATACACACACAGGGACATACACACACAGGGATACACACACACAGGGACACACACACAGGGACTATACACACACACAGGGACTATACACACACACAGGGACTATACACACACAGGGACACACACACAGGGACTATACACACACAGGGACTATACACACACAGGGACTATACACACACACAGGGACTATACACACACACAGGGACTATACACACACACAGGGACTATACACACACACAGGGACTATACACACACAGGGACACACACAGGGACTATACACACACAGGGACTATACACAGAGACACACACACAGGGACTATACACACACAGGGACTATACACACA